CGTCTCCACCATACTGCAGTCTCCCGCAGTCTAATAGGTCGTGTTAAACGCAAATTATATAAAGCCCGACGACGGTGTTGTCATTTAAAATTCACTTAAAACAACCACCGCCGTGGCCCGCGGGTGTGGGAAAGCACGAGTAGGAGCGGCGGTGGCGCACCCCTTTTACCGGCTTAGCAAAGCGTAAACACAAAGGACGCAAATTCGTATAACTTTTCCGGACGAGCTGTTGCGCGAAAGAAGAGAGGAATTTTGGAGTACGCCTCGAGACGTACACACATACACACACATACACATATATATAAACGAAGAGTTTTTAAGCCGAAATGTTTTAATATGATTTCGAGACAAAACTTGCCGTTTTCTTAACCACCTTTTGCTAACCCATCCGCAGCGAGGGTACGTTAAATCTTACACGCGGCGAGGGGATGATTGGTGTTTGACGAAAATCGATAACGAGAATAATATAGTAGGGTTGTATACACAAAAAATGCACGTACGCGCTCACTCTCTATATACTTATACGGTCATACGTTATTACAGTATATCAATATGACAATATAAATACACACACACACTCATATATATATATAAATACGAATATAAATACACGTGAAACGCGTTGAATTTATTGAATATAATCCTAGCGCTTCGTTTTATATGCGTATTATATATATGATTATATATGTATGTATGTGTGTATGATAAGCTTTCGTGCAATATGGTGTATTATAGTATATATGATATTGAGAACGGGCGCGCGCACGCTACTGAATTATTATTACCCTGTTATAATATTATTCTAGGGGTCGCGGTGTGATAAGACCACCGTTGCACATAAAAGTAAATGACACGAAAATCGTATATATATAAATATATACCGCTGTGTATCCGACGAGTGGAAAAATTGACTTTTTCCCGCCGCCATTGTTCCCCCGACGACGACGTTTTATGTGTATACAGTATCCAAATGCAATTTCTTTATCAAATGACAAAACGACTGGAAAAATCATTTTCACCTCCCGCCGCTGACTCTACGATTTTTTCGCGCACATTAAACGTAAGCACACGAGTAAATATGATTTCGCGCCCTATATAACACACACAGGCAGATTATATATATATAAATATTGTGTGATGGGTGCAGCGGATCGCGGGTGTATGTGCGTTCTCCCTATCTACAGCAGTATATAAATACATATATATATATATACCTAATATAAATAATATGTTTATATGTGTTGTATTTTTATTCCCGTCACCCACCCACCAGCGTTCCATTGTCCACGAGATAAACGCAAATGCGAGTTGTCACGGGTTAACGCGGGTAACGCGTACGTACGGTCCGCTGGCCGCCGGATATTGAGTTTCACCACTGCAGCAGGACTTGTCTATTCCGGTGCAGTGCATTCGAAAACGGGACATCAACTCCGGTATATATATATATTTGTCCTGCACGTGCTCCAGACCGGTATTATACGATAAACCTACAGAGACGATGCAATAATATGCATAATATACGTCATTATAGCGATGTACCTGTATTGCTATATTGACGGTAGGAGCTAAAATATATTATAGGGTCACCTTGTGTAGACACACTATGCGTTTGTTTTTTAATTTTTTTTTTTTGAAAAAAAAAACAAAGCCGACCATCCTACACACATTCTATCTCCTAATCGGTTCAGACTTGATTTCCCCTTTGGATGCATACCGCACGTTCACGTGATATACGCATTAGATACTATTATTATTGGTACGCCGTATATATTATAACGCGTAGTTAACATTATTTTATACGTCGTGCATTTCTATATCGCGCGTACAGTGTATAGAAAATTGTACGTAGTTCATACATATTATTATAATAGGTATTTTATATTATTATTGTACATAATAACACAGATGGCGAGTAAATGACGACGACCGATATTTATATTTTATTTTTTTATTATTACTCTGATACAATGAATTACGATATTTAACATGAGTGTTTTGATTTATTTTATTAGTGTAGCTCTGTAAATTATTGAGATTTACTGTTTTCATTGTAATATTTTGTCTTTTTTCAGTCAGCAAATCATATTTTAAATTTAGTACTTTAAAAATTTCCATTTTCAACGTACTGAATAAATAGTTGTTTTTATTACTGATCATCATTTAAATTTTAACAGCAACTAATTATAGAATAATTTACATGTAAATAAAGTAAGGAGAACAATGAATAGTTTGTATAACATGCAAAATTGCCTCTCAATTTAACTTCAAATGACGAAGATTTTAAACATCAGATAAATATGAAATTTGATTAAGTTCAACATATTATTGTTATTATTATTATTATTATTATTATTATTATTATATAATTCTTATTAAATAGAAAAACAATTTTTTCCAAAAAAATATTCTTATTGACGTTATGAATGTCTTTTACTTATCCATATTATACTTTAAAATTATATAACTACGAAATGCAGTCGTATTTTGCCCAGTGAGTTTAATATTATGCTCGATCGAGTTGTTTGCAAGTGTTCTGGTTATAGGGTTAAAAGCTGGTGCGCAAGACATGATAAACGAGTTTACGATTTTTGACTTTAATGTTTATAATTTTTATATTCCCTGTTTTGCTATAGAGTGGGGTGCATACGTATTCAAACCGCGCGCTCTATTTATACATATATAAAATCGTGTTGTTCTCCTTATATTATACACTTTATCGCTGTTAAAAGTCGTAAAAAAAAAAACAAAGACTCGTCGCATAATTTACGGTTAAGCGCCTCGATAATTGTATTTTCCAGTCGGAAATTAACGTCGTTTCTCTCGAAATTATTCATGCCGATTCCGCGCGCACGTTAAAAGCTTTGCGCCCGAAAGAAAAGGTTAAAAGCTAAAATAAGAAATAATGTTGCAAGGGTTGTTGTTGTTGTTGTTAGTCGTTACTTTTTTTTTATCGCGACGAGCTGTTTCTTTTTTTTTTATACGTTTATATAACGTTAAAAGGGTAAAGGAATTGTTGAGAAAAAATTAGCTCTTAATACGATTTCGTGTCTGGTGGCAGAGCGGAAGGAGGTGGAATAAAAACCTTTTGCTTTTTATAAGTCAAAATAGCGGTGCAGCGTGTAGTACCTATACGTATTACATAAATTATTTGAAGGAAAATCTGTTTTTAATATCCCGACGCGTTATTTTTCTTTGCAATATTCATTTCTTTGGTATATTATAGACTGTAATTGTAGTATCCCCTCCCACCGCCAATCTTTACTAACGACAAAACTTCTGTTAAATGTGCCGTACAGTATGCAAGAGATAATGTTTTTAAAAATATAGAGGGTTTGTAGCGCGGGTCCGAAGCGGACGCCAATGTCAACGACATCACCGCTCCCGCCGAAAACGGATTACGTTTCCAAAGCCAAAAAACTTCGCCGCATGCACTATTTAAGGTCGTCCAATTACCGCGTGGGTCTCAAGAGACAGAGGTGGCTGTTTTAATTGTATTCTTTTGTGGAGAAATAATAATTATAATGGAAATGCGAGAACGCTACAACGTCTTGTTGAATTTTCCTCTTCGGTCCGTCTTTTCTTCATCGCCGCCGTCCGTTCCTCTTGTTAGAAGTTTAAATGAAAATTATTTAAGAACCGGGAGTATAAAAAGGAGACACTGTCTCTTCGTTTTCGATTAACGCCATTTCTTGATTGGATTATTTTTCGCGTTAATGCACTTTTGTGGTTTTAAATGGAGGGAAATATACTTTAAATACCGACGCCACGACTTTTTTTTTCATTTTTTTTTTTCTTGTCCAGATTGATTAAGGGGAAGTTTTTTTCACGAGTTTAAGGTGTTGCGCGCGATCCATGCGATCGATATTCCAACAAATATACATACACACGTACACGCATACACACACCACATCACACCACACGAATCTTTTCTCATTTGTCGGTAGAGGTGTGTAGACGATGTCGACGACCGCGGGAGGGGCAAACAAAAACCCGATTTGTTGTCGAACATACAAACATCGATGGGATGTATAATATTCAAAATGAAAACGTTCAATATAGCCGATGGTCTTAATTAAAGAACCGGTGGTCCGTCATTGTTCGAATGTCTATTATTATTGTTATTTATTAATCTTCGATCTATGTGCGCGGCACAGCCTTGCCCACAGAATACACCCATCGACCAATGATACGCGGCTGCGATGGCTATACATACCAAACATAAAACATTTTTCCGTCGTTTAATTGTGTGCACACGAAAAAAAAATAATATTAAAAAAAGAAATTACAGGAAACAACGAAATCGTCCGCCGTCGTCGTTCGTTGTAGTGCGCGCCCGCGGGAGCATTCGTATATATAATATAATAATACATAATATAGATATATAGATATACGAATAAAACAGTCCTTTTGTGTGTTCATTCGGACGATGCGGAGAGGATGCCTGACTTGTTTTCCGATTTCTTTGATGAAACCACCACCCGGGTGCGGTCGGTGGTGCGCGAAAAAAATATACGTAATACGTAATAATATGTATACATTGTATACGTACATAATATTATTATATATATATATATATATATGCCTGTGTGTGTGTGTTTTATATAATATATTTATTAAATATGATTTCGTTGTGTTTGTTGAATCGAAAGAGACGGGAACGGTGGTGGTCGGGGTGCGCAGAGTTGGGAGTAGTACCTATGTATACAAATGTGTGTGTATGAGTGTGTATGGTAGGTACCGCGCGTATCGTATAATATTTGTGTTTGTCCGGTCCGATTAACTGCACGCCAGCGTATATATAGTTGACCAGTGGACCACAAAAATCGGGATATGATTGTGAAATAATAAACGGAAACCTAATTTACGAGATGTAGGTACATTGTACATATGAACGAGCACACGCACATTCGTCCGTTGTAATGTAAAAATAACCGACAGATATAATATTTTGTTCGTATTGATTATTGTTATTTATTATCATTGTGTTTCTCGTGTTTCAGTCGTTTACCAAAAGCGTCTGCGCAGAGAGAGAAAAGCCAGAAAACGCGTTCAGGATCAGCTGGAACAAGAGTTGAAGCGGAGAGCTCAGCTGGAAGAGATGATCAAAGCGGCCGGTGCGCCAGCAGACGCACTCCGTGTACTAACAGGTGCGTACTTATATTGGACACGCATGGTTGTTACGTGGCGCATAGCGTACGAGTGTTCAATCATAGATATCATTGCCATAACTATATAAACATAATACTGTCGAAGCGATTTCGAAACCTTATTCCGTGGTTTTGTTCGATGTCAATAAAATATCCTAATGACTTTAACGACAGTTAAAGTTTGTAAATATCAGAGATAGGTATTCGTTAAATCTATGAATAATTTAATAAATATTAATCTTATTGTCGGTTATAAATATTTATAATAATATCATCGTTCAAGAGAATATAGATGCTCATTTGATTTATTTTTTTTGCGCATTATGTGGGTCTTAAAAAATAATAATATGCTCAAAGGCAAATTTGTTCTACTTTGGTTTGAGTTTATCGATTTCGTTTAAGTCAAAAATAAAAAGTTAATCTCCGAAATCGGTATTTATATAAAACACGGAAATTCGTGAACTTTTGAATATACGAATTTTGTGATGTAAATTTCAGTGGTACCCATCGCGGTAAAAAAAAAAAATAAAAATAATATTGAAATAATGTCCATCCTAATTTGAAAGACTATAAATTACAATTATTTTACTTGTAAATTTGGCGTATATTATTCCAGTACTATACTTTGGTCACATACATCGATATGCATTAATGCATCGCCAATAGCAGAGAATCAACTCGAGCTGTTAAATGTTGATATTAATAATTAAGTGCCGTTTTTTTTTCAGAGAATAACAACGAAAAACCGAGGGATAGGTCGGAACAGTCGCAGAGTCCGCAAAACTATTCTTCCGGACAAGTGCAACGAGGTTCGGAGACGTCCAACGACAAGCAATGGAACTATTCAGGACTGGACCTGATGAGCTCGTCCGGAGCTGCTGCATTCTGGCAAAACTATTCCGGTAAGAAAAATGCAACGTTATAATTTTATTATTTATCATGTAATATTTATTTACGACAGCAGAAACTTGCACTGCGTGACGCATACGTGTATAGGTACTGTATATAATAATATTATAATGACCAGTGGCGGCGCAAACTCTTTCAGAGAATTTCATATTATTAACGCCAACAATATCACCAACTGTTACATTGCTATTATATGTTTAAAAAAATTTCGCTACCGCAATATATTTATACATATTATACAATCTGCACACTTCTATATCATATTATTATTGATGTATTTCAATTAAAATGATCAATAACGACGATATGGATATGATTATATATGATATTCACATATTATTATGATCAAATAATTATCACATAGTTCAATATGTTAGCTTATGAAATATTATTACCCGTAACTTTTATCTTCAATCATAATAATAATACTTTAAACATAATAATATATAGGCCTCTGATCATATTATTATACCCACAAGCCTTTCTGCCTATGAAACGATTGCTTTAAAACCTGTTACCGCCACTGGGCACTGATTGAACTCATAATGTTTGCGCATGCATGTACTTGCCGTGGCTCATACTCATACACGCGTAGGTGGATATATTTTAATAATACAATATGTATACGGTGTTATATGTAACAATATTGCGTCACGCGGGAAAATTGTCTCTGGCGTAAAGCAAACATAAACAGTGATTAGTCAGAGATTTTCTTTTATTTTTAAATTTGCATCTCGCCCATACACTAGTTACGTATTCATGAATCGTGTACATGAGTTTGTATGTGCGTATGTGTGTGTGAGAGAGAGAGGCATAGTCGTACGCGTGTTTTCCGACCGAGGGTGGTATAGTTTGTTGTATACGAATATACATACGAGTCTCGAGCAGCATATTATTTAAAACTGCCTGCGTTATGTGAGTGTGTCGGTTTGTAATGAGAATAACTTCATACACTCGTGTGCGTATGACGTCCGCCCCGCACTGCTGCTCAGAAATTCCATTTGCAATAAACACCGAGGTTAACCCTCAGCCGTGCAAATGTTATGTGCCACTGCCGCAATTGACCCTTTGCCGCCCTCCAGCCGCACCACGCCGAGCCTGCTCCGGAGTAGTATACATAATAATATATAATATAGCTGCAGCGCGTATATTATTACACGGGGTTTTATTTTTTTATTTTTTATTCCGCCCCATCTCTTGACGTCGACGACGACGATGGTGATGACGACGACAACGTACATGTATACACACACACACAGTCCGTTGAGTAAACCCTTTTGTACACTCGTAAAATCAAGCATTCACTGCGAATTATTAACCGAAAACTATGCATTTTTAAAACCGAACGGGACCTGACATGCACCAGGAAGTTGTACACACACTCGACACTGACGCTCTCAAACAATCGTTTTCCGGACGTGTAAAATGAAAAAAAAACACAAATGTAAATAAAACAAGGGGGGTGGTGGCAAGTTGTACGTGGCGCGCCGAGAGTAATAAAAAATACGACTAAAAATAATACACCAACCCTACTAAAATATAAACGAAATCATATAGCATGTAAAGTAAAACCACGATTACCCATAAATCGGTCCGCCGAGGATATTATTATTATTATTATTATTGTTACATATCATTATTCTAATATTTTATTACATTCGTCGTCGTCTGCGATTGCAAACCAACCTATATATATAGGTACTTACACGGCGGCGGTGCAGTGAAGCGCTATATTATATGTAATATGTATGTATTATTATAATATGCATATACGGTTTTCAAAGACTTTCTGCGCTTGTTGTTTTTGCGTTTGTACTCGGAAAACGCCGCTGACACGAAATCCGCTTAAGTGGCAGAGGAATAAAAAGAAATAACACCGACTGGCGGGGTGGCGTGGAAAGAAGGACAAAAAAGATAATCTTCTTTTAAACACATCGTGACAAAAGGTCGCGGGAGAGAACGGCGGCGGAAAAAAAAGCTCACGTTATTTATTCAATTTCACGGTTGAGCCGTTTTGGCAAGAAGCGATTATTTTATTTTTATTTTTTTTTTTTACATGATATCTCCGCACCCCCTACCCCGCGGGCGTATATTTTTGTGCCGACTATCCGCCGTCGATTTAATATTCCTCCGCCCCGGGCGTTATTACGGCAATTTTCTCGGCACCGAATTACAATTTAATTTCGCCTTGACACATGAACTGCTGCTTCTGCTGTATTCAACGGTATATGGGAAAACGAGATTTATACTGTAGTATACTTACACACGGTACAAAGCCGTTTCCTAATGAAAATGATATTGAAACGGCGTAGTAGAGCATGCATAAAAATCCAATTTCGAACACTGTTGAGTAAATGTATATAATAATAATAATAATAATATATGCTGTTTTTTGTTTTTATGTTTTTACTTTTAACTAAAAGTAAGATTATATATTTTTCAAGATGCGAAGCGACACAATTGGCAGCGCGTAATTGATAGAGTAACACTAAGTCATAATACTGCAGTGAGCAATATTATCCTAACCTCGTACAATGTTGCGTTGTAATTTTATTGAATCGCTTTTACGGGAGCACAAAATCGCCAGAATTCCTCGTCGTACTCTCATGTGATGGAACATAATAATAAACGATTATATCAATAATAACATATTTCCGGTGTATCAATTCTATAACCCTTCGGTATGTAATAGTTTTCTCAAAAAGACCTTCGCAAAACTGAAAATATTAAATAAAAATAATGAAAAAGAGCGTACCGCAAAGTTTGTCCAAGTCTCGGAAGTATACGAGAATGTATACATTATTATATAATATATATATGTGTGTGTGCGTATATACTTTGTATTACCCGTGTACTTCGGAATATCGATTTCGAGGTAAAAAAAAAAAAAAATAAAAAATAAAAATAACTCAAAAAGACTTTGATCTGCGGCAGCACAATATTATTATTGCAGTGTAATGTCACTGGTGACGGCGGCGACTTCTGCCAACTAATATAATATATTATTATCATCATCATCATCATGTGTGTATGTATACCTACATATTTTGGTCGTGTGAAAACTGCATCAATCGAGTCTGCGCGCGATGATAGTAATAATAATAAAACGCATTACGCGCACATAAATAATAATGTACGTATTGTACATGTTATGAGTATTATAATGCGTGTTGTACACATAAACGCGAGTTTTCGGTATTCGGACGTTCGTTTTACAGTTACACGCGTTACGAATTTAAATCGGCTTCAGATTGCGTACAAATATAATAATAACAAATGAATAATGATAATATAACACGACGACGACTAGGACGACTACGAGACGTATTGATAGAATTCTACTATCTATAATAATATAACATAATATACATGTTTGACGTGTGCTTGTTGTACGCTGTACACTACCTGATACACATATACGTTTACCATTGACCATACCGAATAGTCGAGGAAAATTGACGGGAATTCGATACGCAATATATTATTATTATTAAATGTATAGTGATTTTTCGAGGTGGACAATCGTTACGGACCCGACGATAACTATACACACACACACACACATATATATATATTATATATGTGTGTATGTGTCTGTGTACCTACATGTCGTCTGCTGATGGCAATTGTTGCATTGTTGTCCTGTGCGTACTTGCGGTTGTGTGCGTTATTGTCGAAAAACTCGCGTCAAACGAATCGTGCGGACGATAGAATATTATTATTTTTATTTTTGTATTGTAATCGATTTCGAATGTGTGTGCTCGTGTGAGTGTGTGTGTGTGTGTGTGTACCTCGCCGATGGGAAAAAACTATTAACCGGTCAATTGCGTCGGACAGTGGTGCAGTTCCCACACACGATATCTTAACGCTCAGTGCTTCGGCCGCGGCGAGACGGGGGGAAAGCGAGCCCATATGTTATAATATTTTGTATTATACAGGTGTACATTATATATAATGCGGTGTAGTAGCATCAATGCGTATTTGGAAAATATTGGATATTTTTTTATTTTTTTTTTTTCGTTTCATTTATATTAATATATTTTTTTCCCCGAAAAGCTCATTAAAGTATAATTGAATTAGTTATTGAACCGTACGTTTTTAATTTGTGGATTTAATTTTTTCCACGCACGGCATGGGCAGATATTACATGTTGTGTAGGCGTGTTGGATTTGCATTTTTTTTTTCGATTCGTTAACGCCCGGAAGAGTATATCGCTCCCGCGGATTTAAGCTGTCCGATGAACGCGACGATTTATCATCATATACCTGGTGGAACACAAACCTCATTATTTGGTTGTTAAAAAAATTGCGCGTCGGTCGTGTGTACACGATGTGAAAAAATGTGAAAAAAGAGAAACAAAAAGGGGTCATCTTTATTTGGCCTGTTAGCTTATGCGCGTCGGGTAGTATTATTATATAGTATACATACATACATACATACATACATCATATATTTGTGTAGTATATAAGCATATATAGTGTTGCTAGTGCAAGTAAACTATGTATGAATATATATAGTTGTATGTAGTAAAGTTTTTTTAAGTAAACCATTGCAGTGTGACGGTACAGTGTAGGGGAAACAAGGCAACTGTTATATTCTATTTTCAAATAATATATAATATAATATAATATAATGTATATGTACATTCCAAAATTGGAAACCGTTCGTCCGGGCGCGGGAAAAATGAAAGTAATTTCAAAAAAAATATCCATCTTCGGAAACATTTATTTTTTTATTATTAGATATTCAAATGCACCCTTTTTCTCGTTTCTCGTCGTGTGCATCCCTGTTTTTTCCTTTTTTCTCTTTTACCACCCGCCTTCTCCCTAACCCACTGCCTCTTACACCATATTTTCAAGTGCCGCGTAACAAGTTTTATTTTCATTCAAATTCTCGTTGCCGCCACGTTAAAACACACGGCGACAGCGGTGTTTTTGCCGAATGTCGGATTACGCGGTTGAACCCTTATTTTCGAGAGTGTGTTTTTCGCTGTCGTTGTCGTTTTTTTTTGTTCGTTTTATATACAATACACGCGTATCGTCTGACGAGTGCAAAATAATACAAATGGCAATAGGAGTCAAAAACTATATTATGTCTTCTGTATGTGTATTATGTAAATCTTCGGTTAATCGTGCGCTAAAGCCAACGGGTGAAAAAAAATGTAGTGAGGGAATAGATGAGAGAGGGTGGAACGAAACAGGTCGGGCGGTTATAACGCGGATAACTTCATATCAAAGTTGTGTACGGGAGACAGCAGTAAAATTTCGGGTTAAGGTGCCTCGCCGTCTATGTAAGAAAATAGAGCACATAACCGCTATATATATATGTACATAACAACCCTTTCGTTTATTATCTAAGCGGATTAACATCCGGTGGTATCGCGTATTTAATATTAATATGTATAGAAACGCGAATACAAGAGAAACGCATACGCGACGACGACGACCTTTGTCCGTCAAACTTTCTTAAAACAACGCGCACAGACACAGACACACACACATATATATGTGGTATGATGGTAATCCATAATTAAAGCGAAAACTTGGAAGGATGTGCCCGCACTGCTGCCCACTCGTAATATTACGACGTCCGTTCTTCCGGCGTCCGGGGGATGGTTTTCTTTGTTTTCAAGTTTTCCGAAGCCAATACTATACCACGCATATAAGACCAACGGCGAACCCTTTATTATTTACCCATCTCCACCATTATATTATTATATATAGGTAAAATGATCTGGTTGACCGCGGTGAAAATAATAATAATAATAATAATAATAATAAGCACGATGTGTATCTCTATATATTCGTCTATCTATACATATACAAACATTTAGGGGTGCGCGTAATTACAAGTCAACGAAATAGGATTATACCGCCGTCGAGATATTAATTTTCCGGTTGTATACTCGTTCGGTGGTCGGTTTCTCTAATTTGACGAATGTTCGTGTGTGTAACCCTCTCTACGCATTTATTAAGCTCGGATTACTACTATATATATGCACGTGTTAACGGCACATTGATATCTACGCTTACGACCGTCATCGTATGGTATACCTATATATCATACACTTGTAATTAACATGATGCTGATCGGCGCATAGAATCGTACAAGTAATAATAATTAGTGGCGGGCAATCGAGTGGCGTGGTATGACGACATCTGAGAGGTTTTCCGCCCTCGGTGCGACGAAGACGTCTCATTAAAATATCATCGTTGCTATTATTATTATTATCAATATTATTATGATATTATGGGATTTCGCTATTCTTGGCGTGATATCCTATGATTTGAATCTGTTGTCGGCAACAATGATTTGCGCGTCTAACCGTCTCTAACGCTTTCGCCCTGGGGTGGTTTTGATTGTGCGCGTACATATATGCATATTGCACCGCCGCGCACAGTAAAATGCAATAACAATAATAAACTTACTATATATACGAGTATATGTGTATAAATATAAACTATATATTTTATGTACGGGTTAATGGGACCGTCGCGAGGACGGAGCAAAAAAAAAAGGCCTCCGGAGAGAGTGTGAGAGATTGAGGGTGACGGGATCGTGCTGAGGAAGAGCCGATTTATGCGCGCGGCGTATATATTATAAACGTTTTCCGGGCAAATTCGCATTATGAAACGTATTATAAATGCATAGATGCGTTTTGCATAAGACGATACGCCTGGAGGCGCCTCTCTCTCCTTGCTCGTATATATATATCGTGTGTAAGCACTTCTCGAGCTCCTCACCCCTTACCCGTCCGCCACCCCCGATCGCCCTTTTTGCCGCCGCCGACAATGACATTTGCCTTTCGCGGCTATTCGATTAGCCAACAACAGCCCTCGCCGCTGCACGCACACGCAGCAATAAAGGGAAAATATATATTCAACACAATGAGCATTTTTTACCATTTATTTTTATTATTATTCGCAGAAACGTTTGCGCAGGAGCTCGATCTGGAACGAAAAGCCAGGCAGCAACAATCTGCCCAACAGAATCAACAACAGAGCCAACACTCGGACAGAGACATAAAATCGCCCGTTCCAGGTACGTTCTGAATTTACTTATATGATATTAAATTATGTATGACTATACGTTCAACGAATCAATTGAGTGAAATCTTGTCAGTGTATACATTATTGTAATAAAATCTAGTATAATATAATATGTATGAACGTATGCCAGAGTTCGATTGGACGGTAGGAAAATTTAAAAAAAAAACAGCTTGCAAGCAACGAAGGAAATATAGGTTTTTTTTTTTTTTGTTGTTTTGAAAACGTATATATCACGATACCTATCAATTTTAAATAATCTCTTTGGTTTTTAATTGCCGGAAGTATGTGGCGCAGCAGCAGTAAGAGCGCGCACCCTTCAGTAACGTGGTTGGTCATATATACAATATATTATATAGGTACAATAATAATATTGTTTTCTAATTTCGAAACTTTCCGTTTTCGTTTCAACCCTCACCAACCGCCCATTCTACCAGTTTTTCTTATATTATTATAATGAAAGTTGGACGACGATATCCGCCGTCGCTTTAATAACGCCGGTACACGCGTCGGCCACGGCGACGGCGTGTTGAATATCAATTTTCCATGACTGTCCCTTCACCCTCGCGCCCAATACTGCCACTGCCACCTCCACCACCGCCGAAGACGGCGCGATCGCCACCCTTTCTGCACCGTTCTCGTAAACCGCGTGTATATGTGTACAACAGTCGTGTGTCGAGCAACTATATAATATTTTGCTCAGAAAACAATCAATCATAAAGCTCCGGGGAAACGCTGCCGCGACCCCGGAGAATGGCGAGTTTCCTTCTGTTTCCGACAGCAATCGAGTCGTACCATATTAAAATGTATATACACTCACGTACACACACACGCACTGGACTTGTTATGTGATGTGTGTATGTGGGTGTGTGGGTATAATATCGTAGGAAATTCCCTCGCATACGCGCGCGTATAATGCTGTCGCGTCGACGTCGATCCTAATTCAAAGTGAATTCAACAAGATATTACATTAACCGATGGATTTTATATTATTATTTGAATCATTTATTTTTTTTTTTTTTTCAGATAACAGGGCAAAATTTTTCAATAATTCCGTATTGTTCAGCACGGCAACATAATTGCGGAACGTAGTTTAAAATTTTTAAATAATATTTAAATTGTACTTAAAAGAATATTAGTGAAGATTTTCTCGTTTTGTATCAAATATATCATATTATTATACCTATATTATAATAATAATATTACGTATGTCGGCATTTTTTTTTTTTTTTTGTATGTATTTACGTATGTGACTTTATTATGGGCTTTTACGCATGCATTTAAAAAATGCATTATATTATATGTATCATGTATTATTATTATAGTAATATTAACTATTAAAATATTATTTAGATTTATCGTTATATTGTATAGTGTTTCGCGACAAACTAACATGTATTGCGTGTTATATTACACATTGCCACGATGTTTGTATCAACCGATGTGTAGACAGTACTAAAAGTGTTTGTAATATCATGCGATCTCAAAAATCATGACGTAAAAATGACATATTGTATTAAGCAATGTTGTACGAACTCCGCGGGAAATTTCGACTTTGATAGACCCGACGATTCTGTATAAATTATAATATATATATATATATATAATAGTATATTATTTATTGATTTCATTATAACTAAATAAAATTTACCGACTGATTTTTAGAAAGAAAAAAACATTGTAATTTAAAATACCGTATAAATATCTATACGAATCAAACGTGTGTCGTTGGGTAAACATTACATTGACTTTAATTAATGTAAATGTCTCCTTTCTCCCCACCCGAAAAAAATACTATTGCATTATAACACGGTTATACGTCCAAATTTGTATAAATATAATATAATTATAAGTAGTTCCTTCTTTTGGTATATTATGTATATATATATATATATATTTTTTTTTTTTTTGTTAAATTAAAAACGAAACTTTCTCGTGACCATACGTCGTGATAATAATATGTATGTATAATATATTATGTACCGCCTAAATATTTGCATTGATATTTTAAGTTACAGTTATATCAATGTATAAACATATAATACGATGTATTGTATAACGTTGTGTGAGACACCTACGTGTCTTTTCGCATTTTGTATAGAAGTATAATAATTTTAATATATATATGTATTGTGTATCGGCGTAATTTTATTAATTTATTAATTACTTTTTGTATAATATTAAATAATTTATATACATATTATTATTATGTGTATACATATTATACATATTATTATAATCATAATTATTATTATTATTACGTGTAATACGGTTGTAGATAAAACCAAAGAGGAAAAAATTAAAATTAAAAAAAAAAATATCATTATAATGTACTAATAAAGATTTAGCCAGTATAATATATATACACAATAATACAGTATATTATGTATTTCTTTTTCTCTGTAAATTATTATTATAAATATTATATACGATTACATAGTTCTATAATATCATTATATTATATTATCATCGACTAGGCTATATTATTTATTAAACTATAATATTGATATATCGCCCAACGTGTGTGTACATTTAAAAACGAAAAACAAAAAAAAAAAAAAAAATTTAAAAAAAACATTAATTAACAATAATTTCTACTTTTAAGCGAATATATTTATGTAATTTTAATGAAACTATTGTTCGCCAAAATTCATTAAATGTGCACAATACTTATATGAAAAATAAAGTGTTTTCTTTTTTTTGTTCCTTTAGACACGCGGTTCCTATAATACGCATACGTTGTGTTCTCGCTACGCTATTTAAGACTTAACGTATTCGGGTACGACTGTGAGTATACGAGTGCACGAAAGTCTGTACGAGTGCATCGTCGATAACACTATTGCAGTGGTATACTGCAGTCAGGGGCTTGTCGTACACAAATATGTATACATATATTTAACAAGTCCTGCGCACACGAAGTACGTGCGTACGTGTACCTGTATAATGTTACATTATAATGTGTATATTATAATAATATATAAATAACGATGTACGTATAAATAATAATTATACAATGAAATGCACAGCATATTAATATAATACCAGTTGAATATTATCAGGAATGGCCATCTCGACTACGCGTAGCTGCAAACGAACGACGGTTGGTGCCATTATGTATTATTAAAAATAAAATAAAAGCAATATTATTGGACATTACGTTACGGTAATTTTTTTTTATTATTAAGTGTATTCCATTCTCCAAATAATAATTATTGACGGATAATAATATCCGGAGGCTTGCAATACATACCTATAGGTACACAGACACAGACACACGCGCTCACATATAATATTTATATATATTCTTTATTCTATAAACGCGTTTATATATATATATGTGTGTATGTTTCAGGTTTTTTTATTATTATTTTTATTATCGTTATTATTACCTTTATCCAAATTATTATTATAATATTGTATTCGGGCAGTCGCGGAGAACAACATAAGGTAGGCAGAGACCTGCCGGGGCCAATAACTCGTTGTTTATTTTTTAAATAGACAACCGTCGCCCCACCGTCGTTTTCGTGGAGAAACCACACCTATTGTGGAGATAAAGAGAAGTATTAAGAATAAGAACGAATATTATTTTTATTTTTTTATTGATCATTATTCATGTTAACACGTAGGACAGTTCGATGCCAAAATACATTGTAAATAATATCGTTGTATAACTGACGCCTACCTACCTGTTATATAATAACGCAATATTTCTATTAGGGGCGCTGTTCTATATTACTTCTATAATAATATATTATATTTTTTTCTCCTCCTCTCGTCGGCTATGATTCGCAATTTCAACAGTGTTTTCAATTCAATCATTTTTTTTTCTCACTTTTCAACCGAAAAACGTCGACTTACCATGAAATGATGTACACAATACAATATATTGTAACCTACCTAGGTACCTGTTGTACCCTTTTGAATTATATGTTTGAAATTTCAAATGGAGTCGTACGATACCAAGAAACCCGACTTTTGATTGGATATTGTCACGGGTTCACGATATAAAGTTTGTCCTTTGTCCTATTCTATGATATCCTTTCTTCAATATACAATAAATATATATATAAATACAATATGTATTTTTATTACAAACAAATATCAGTATAGCGGCGGCGGAGTTGGTGGGGAGTTCAATGTCAAATAGTACATAATCATATTTTTCGGACCGATCCGAAACGCACACAGTGTAGCGAGGATATAGCCGCCGCTCCTCTTCCGTCCGTTGAATATAAAATATTATATGTTCTTAAGTCTCGCCGTGCATTTCTAATCAATCAATATACATACCGTCGGTGAGTCGGAATGGTCGGAGTCGCCGTCGTCGTCGTGTTTCCTTGAGTTTTTATTATAATATACGCGTTTTACATATTATATACACACATACATATAAATATATTAAATACCTACCTATATGTATATTGTACATTGTACACGACGACGACGACGACGACGACGACGACCGCTCGCAGGCGGTGGCGACGGCGGCGGGGGGATAATTATACGTTTTGATTTTTAAATGGGAAAAAAATGGTTCGGCGCGGACCTTTCTATATAATACGCGCGCACACACAAGTACACACACACACACACACATTTGATTGGGTATGTAGTCGAACCGTGATATTATTAAACGTTCTCGTTTGGAACGTTATCTCGTCGTACTTAAAAATACTACTCACTCACATACACACATATACATACCATGTACATATATTTTCTTGTATCGAAATTATTATTTTCCTCCTTTCGTTTATATTTTACTCATGATGTGTGTGTGTGTGTGTGTGTGTGTGTGTGTGTGTGTGTGTGTATACAATATTTATATTTATACATATAGATATGTATAAACGTCTATAAAATATAATTTACGACCATTTTATTCATATATATATATATATGCGTGTGTGTATAAAATCGTCTATGATGTATATTATATATTTATTATTATTTTTTTTTTTTTTTTTTTGTCGATTCTCAGACGGCATTTTTCATTATTATACATACATATGAGCGTGTGTGTATGTGTGCGCGCATGTGTCGATAAAACGATTACGGATTTTGATCTGTCGGAAGACGGCGAGGACGCAGGAGGGAATTGGGTATTTTTCTAGAGCTCGCTGCGCCGATCGTCTGCACGTTACTATACAGTTTAATAACAAGTAATAACACTGTGCAGTGTATACATCATATTGTGTACCTATATGTATATATGTATAATATATATTTATAATATTATGTATACCGGTCGATAGATTTAACGTAAGACGCATTTATTGTTTAAAAAAAAAAATAAAAAAAAAAAACTATAACGTAATAAGTAATAACTGCAGTAATGCATTTTTAAGACATTTGTTCTACAATACGTGTGGCTATAAAAAACAAAATTAACTGAAAGATTAGCACTCCGATGTATAAAAATCGATTTTCGGATAAGTAGCATAATGAGCAAAAAGTGTTTACAGCGTGATACAGAAATACCTCGAAGAATGTCGGTTTACTACGTTCCGCACGTCATAACTTAAACGTCTTAAACACTTATGAATCATAATCAATAAACCGCTGTATACTGATTGGAGTCCCTACACCTGAACGGAAAGAAGTAGTATACAAATCGAGTCCGAGGAGATTATTTTGAGTGAAATATAACATCAACTTTCCCAGACACGGCGGAAATCATGCCGGGCGGCATTGAAGTATACGACTCGTATGTTATTATTATCACACTTATACGCGCACAGTCGTGCCGCGCGTCAAAAGCCACTTCGTGCGGCGGATGCGCCTTAATAAAAGTATTATAGGTATGGAGACGACTACGTGATATTGTTAATATTATTTTTATGACTTTCGTCAGATAACATGTTATTTAGAGCGGAAGTGTTTTTCATGATATTATGTTATACACTCTAGTTTACGAGGTACACCGAGCAACACGAATGAAGTAATGTTAAGTGAAAGAAATAAAAAATACTAATTTGATCGATGGACACAAATTTCGTTCTCACAAATATTATCGAAAAAATCACCAACGCTGGATTTGTTACAAAAACAACTGTAAGTCATTTTTTAAATCAAATTAATTTAATATTACAATATTGATAAATCCATAAGTCATATAAACCATAAACAACAGAGCGAATCTTTGATAAATAGACAAAAAATTATTATCAATATAGACTAAAACGCAAAACATTAGATAATCTAGTCGAAAAACTTTCGAAAATTATTCACAAAGATCTCGGAGAGAATGTCGCAGATATATTAAACGCCTATGGCTTAAAATTAATTCGAAAAAATAAATATTATGCTAGAACGTCGATAATGCCTAAAATACCAAAAAACTTAACAGAATTACATGCAGCTCTAATTGATTTTAACCCGAAAACAAACAAAAATGAATCATCTATGTTGATCGATGAAAAAACTAAAATTATAATGTTTTCATGTGCTATTAATTCAAAATTTTTAATTACGTGTGATAGGTACAATGTAATATTGACGGGACTTTTAAAAGCTGCCCAAGATAATTTTCTCAAATGTTTACTATCTACGGAATGAAGAATAATAACTACGCAAACTTTTAGTATTTTGTGTACTTTTAGACTGTAAATCTTTAACCGCATATGAGGCTTCTTCTTTTCAATTATTAATTTCAGAATATCAAAAACTCAATTTATGTTTTTATACTAAAACTGTTTTTGTTGATTTTGAAAACGCTATTAGTGTTGCTGTAAATGAAATTTGGCCACCAGCAAGACTTAAAGGGTGACGATATCATTTAGAATAAGTATGGTTTAAAAAAATCCAATCATTAGATCTAGTTGGTGGATATAGAAATAAAAACTCTGAAATTGGTAAATATTTAAAAACATTTTTTTGAGCTTTCGTTTTTAAACCTACCAGATGTCAATTATTGCTTCACTGATGACTTAATTTCTATTTACTTCGAGATTTTCGAGTAGAACTGACTATATATTAGAAAATTACATATCTGAAAGCTCACAATATCCTTCGGAAATGTGGGCCTCATTTACATATTCATTGATGAGGACCACCAACAGTTGTAAAACCTCCCATTTAAAATTCAATAATATATTTTATTCAGCCTATTCAAACATTTATCAAATTAAAAACATT